CGGGTGTAATGTAGGTTTTACTGGAAGTACAGGAACTATTTGGTAGTTCAAAACAATAGGAATTGTTCGCAATATCAGAACGGTAGGAGCTATGAGCAATATCAAATAGAATAGCTGCTGATGTTTTCATGTTACGGACAGTTCCTTTAGTTTTCAAATTACGAATAGTTCCGCTAGTTTTGATATTACGATTAATTCCTGGTTTTGATATTGCGAATAGTTGCCCTAGTTTCGATATTACAAACGGTTCCCATAGTTTTGAAATTACGAATAGTTTCTGTAGTTTTATTGTTTTTATTGCGAGTGGTTCCTATAGACTTGATATTAGGAAGAGTTCCTATAGTACTGATATTGCGAATAGTTCCGATAGTTTCTGTAGTGCTTTCGTTATTACTGATAGTTTCTGTAGTTCAGGTAGTTGCCATATGTGAGAGAGTACGAATGGTTCTTAAAGTTCGGATATTTAGAATAGTTCCTGTAGTTTCGTCCGACTTTTGGAATTAGGAATAGTTGCAGTGCTTTTGGATGGTACGGACTGTGAGATTGGAGGTGATACAAGAGGAAGAATTGTTGGTTGAAAAACGGTTAACGGGAAGAATAGGTGTAAATGGTGCAGCTGCTTCGATATCGGACTCTTTTTCAAATGATGGCTCACAAGGGACTCGAACTGATGGCTGTATTGGGTGTAGTTTCGGATGATTTGCCTTGGCTTTCATGAGTAGTTCAACGGCCAAACAAAGCTGTTGTGGAATTGCGAATAGTTCCTATAGTTTGTGTATCACTAATAGTTCCTGTGGTTCATGTAGCTGCAATAGTTTTGAAATTAGGAATAGTTCCTATAGTTTTCAAATTACGGATAGTTCCTGCACTTCTGATATTACGAATAGTCCCCATACTTCAAAAAGCTTTGATATTACGAACAATTCCTTTAGATCCTACAGCTTTGGCATAGCGAATAGTTCCTGTAGTTTTGACATTGCGAATACTTCGCATAGTTCTGATTTAACGCGTAATTCCAGTTGTTTTGCCATTATGCATACTTCCCATAGATCGTATATTATGAATACCTGGTATAGTTCTGCTATTACGAATAGTTCCTGTAGTTGCTAAAGTTTCGATTCTAGGAATGATTCCAGTACTTTTTAGATTACGAATAGTTCCTATACCTTTGATATTACGAGTAATAGCTATAGGTTTGGTATTACTAAGACTTTCTGCAGTTCAAGTAGGTCGCATAGTTTTTAAATTGCTTAAATTTGAATGGTTCCTGTACTTGTGATATTATGAAGAGTTCCTCTAGTTCTCGTATTACGAATAGTTCCTATAGTTGCTAAAGTTTTGATATTATGAATAGTTACTGCAGTTTTCAAAGTACGAATTGCCACAGTTCAGACATTGCGAATAGTTCCTATAGTTCACATATTAGGAAGAGTTCGTGGTTTTGATATTGCGAATAGCTCGTGTAGTTCTGACATTACGAACAGTTACGAAGTATTGGTAATTTCAAAACACGGAACTATTCGTAATGTTTGAACTGTAGCAATCATTCGTACTAACTGTTGACAATATCAAAATTTTAGCAACTATAAGAACTATTCATGATACCAGAACTACAGTAACTCTTCGCAATATCAAAACGATAGCAACAATCTGTAATTTCAAAAGTACAGGAGCTAATTGTACTGTCAAAAGTATAGGAATTACATGCACTACAGTAACTACTAGCAGTACCAAAACTACACGAACTCTTCGCAATTGCAAAACTATAGGGACTTTTTCGCCATATCAAAACTCTAGGAACTAATCGTAATTTCGAAACTATAGGAGCTATTCGCAATAACAAAACTACACGAACTATTCGCAATATCGTAACTACAGGAACTTATTTGTAACTTCAAAACAATAGGAACTGTTCGTACTGTGGTATTACTAAGAGTTCCTGTAGTTTATGTAGGCACTATGGTTTTGAAATTGCTGGAATTTGAATGGTTCCTGTAGTTCTGATATTACGAACAGTTCCTATAGTTTTGAATTTACGAATAGTTGCTGTAGTTTTGTTATTACGAACAGTTCCTATAGTTTTGAATTTACGAATAGTTGCTATAGTTCTGATATTAGGAATAGTTCCTGTAGTTGCTTAAGTTTTGATTTTACGAATTGTTCCTATAGTATTTTAAATTGCGAATAGTTCCTATAGTTTTGATATTACCAGTAGTTCCTATAGTTTTGGTGTTACTAAGAGTTCCTATAGGCATGTAGGTCCTATAGTTTTGAAATTGCTTAGATTTGAATGGTTCCTGTAGTTCTGATAGTAGGAAGAGTTG